AATTCATTTTTCTTGGGGATTTAAACTTCCATCCCCCCCCCCCAAATTATTTGGATTTGAAGCTTACTTTGAACTAGGTAAGAGTAGCTTAGATTTCTTGGAATCATTGAAGTTCGATGAACTTTAGACGAAAATTTGATTGCATGCTGTATGACTATTCAGTTTTGTATTTCGTAAGTGTGGATAAATGATGTTGCTATTTTGGATAATTTTGGTTTACTGCTGAATTTGTTAATTAAGTGATAAATGGTTTCAATCGAGGGATGGGGAAAATATAACTTCAGTAAAACCCTTTAGCTTTTGCAGAACTGGGATATTCTTAAATGGGATTTTGATTGGCTTAGAATTTTGTTGGATATGAGGTTGGTGTGGTTTGGACGGTGGAGTAAAAGTTCTTTACTGGTCATAAGCTTTGGGGAAATCTCCCTGTCTTTCTTGGTCCCCCTAGACGTGTGTATTGTATGCAATACCTTGGGTTTTAATTAATTAATTTCTTCCATTTGGAGATTTCCTCTTTAGGTTCATTGCCATATTATGAAGGTTTGCTTACTTCGCGAGTATCTCTATAATTTTTAGTTTAACTGTGATAATGGCAGGTAAAGTATGTCGAGGGGAGCAAGCCGTCTCGCTTCACAGGGGAGACAGATCAGGCATTGCTTTTGTGCATGGGAACATGTTTTACCGAAAGGTATGGGGTCAAAAAGCCAATGCTCTTTTACCTGGATACGCTTGTGGCCAATTCCTCCGGAACACTGTCCATCTAGATGAGAAAACTTTGAAACCTCTATCAATTTCTCCTAATGGCAGACAACTTATTTCTTCAATGTCATTGCACCACTGTGGTAAGTCTCACATTCAACAAATATGTAGACGAAGATTTGGATGCTATTCTCTTCAAAGTCCATTGCCTGGAGGTTGGCTCGAGCCAAGTGACAAGGATAGAATAGGAAAAAGGGGGACTTGCGCTTACTATAAATCTGAGGAGTTTGACATAACAGAAGCGAATATGGACTCTTTGCCATCTGCAGATGGAACTAGCGAAGCTGTTCTAGTTGGGGGAGACATGCAGGAATCGGTCCCTTTGTGGCAAAATTTTCCAAAGCGCTGGGTTATGGTGCTGCTTTGTTTTGCAGCATTCCTGTTATGCAATATGGACCGTGTGAGTAGTTTTCTTCGCCAACAATAGCACTGCACTAATTTTCTATATGTGTGCTTATTGAGCTGCGGGCTATATATATGCCTTTTGCAGGTCAACATGAGCATTGCAATACTCCCCATGTCAAAAGAATTTAACTGGAACAGTGCAACAGTTGGTTTGATTCAATCCTCTTTCTTCTGGGGCTACCTGCTCACTCAGGTATGTTTCAAATTTATTAAAAATGCACAATTATTTGTTTCCATTGAGGATGTCCGTACACCAGCTTATAATGTGTTGACCTTCTAGTATTCTTGATGCATATTCTTTTTTTCCTTTGAAAGAATTCGTGATGCATATTCAAATCTTCTACTTTGATGCACAGCTAAACATGCATGTGGTTTTCAAATCAATGTTTGCTGATACTAGAAATTCACCTATTTTGTTAATCTTATATATTCTTTCAACATTCAGATTCTTGGAGGCATATGGGCAGATAAAATTGGTGGGAAGCTAGTCCTGGGCTTTGGAGTTATCTGGTGGTCGACAGCTACTATTTTGACTCCTATTGCTGCAAGAATTGGACTTCCATTTTTGCTAATTATACGTGCTTTTATGGGAATTGGCGAGGTTGGTTCTGCTTTGCTTGCTAGTTTTTAATTTATATCCTGTAGTGGCCTGTGATTAACTATCTACCTCCAAAATTCACATACTTAGTGAAGCATCCTTTTCTTCCTGTGCAAACAGTCTAAGAAGGTAGGACTTGTTATATATTTATTTATTTTATATTGCTTATTAAATTATCAGTTGGAACAAGATGAAAGCATAAGAGGAAAAAGGTAAACTCTTCAACTTTAATGGACTAGAGGTTTCTACTATTTTAAGGATTAGAGGTTTCAACAATTCCCTACCTTCCTAGAACTCTTGAGTGCAAAGGAATAAGGATACTCATCTGATTGCACTATTTTCTTTGAAGGGTGTGGCTATGCCTGCAATGAACAACCTACTTTCAAAGTGGATTCCAGTGTCAGAGAGAAGTAGATCACTTGCACTTGTGTACAGTGGCATGTATCTTGGTTCTGTTATTGGGCTGGCTTTCTCTCCTATCTTAATCAGCAAGTTTGGCTGGCCATCTGTATTTTACTCATTTGGCTCCCTTGGAAGCATCTGGTTTGCATTATGGCTGAGAAAAGTGAGTTGCTGATTCCTTTAGCTTTTATTCAAATCAAAAGAATCAACAGAAATCTCTACTCTTGGAACTCACCATTATTGCCAAAATGTTTACTGCCAATATTACATTTTCACAATGCACTCCAAACAAGTAGTTTTGGATATTCTTATAAAGTAAATGAAAATTCTTCCTGCACTTGTTTTGGTTGCTTCTCAGGCTTATAGCTCCCCAAAGGAAGACCCAGAGCTTAGCAAAGAGGAAAAACAACTAATCATGGGAGGCAGCATATCCAGGGAACCTGTCAAGGTCATTCCATGGCGATTAATATTGTCAAAAGCCCCTGTTTGGGCTCTCATAATTTCACACTTCTGCCATAATTGGGGAACTTTTATTCTCTTGACATGGATGCCTACATACTACAATCAGGTATTTGAAACATGCTCCAATGGAGAATGTCAACTCTGCAATTGACATCGACTCCAATACATGCTTTTTCATTTGCTTTTTGGCTTGCATTTGGGATATTCTTTTTCGGAATATCAGATATTGGCTCTGACTTATATTGAGGTAAAGAGAATTGGCAGGCTTTGCTAAGAACTTATTGTGTTGCTAGGTATCCGGCTTGAGTGTATGCAGATCCCTACCCCTGTGCAGGCCTTGTTGCTACTGCAGTCTAGGCCTTGTTACTGATTATTAATTACTGAATTTCTCAATACCGTTGCACTCATTTACTTTGATACCCAACATTATGGTGGTTCATACAGGTTTTGAAGTTCAATCTCACGGAATCGGGACTCCTCTGTGTATTGCCATGGTTGACTATGGCTGCCTTTGCAAATATAGGAGGATGGATAGCGGATACACTAGTGAGCAAAGGTCTTTCTGTAACATCAGTTCGTAAGGCAAGGATTGATACTTTGGTTCTTAGAATTTGATTTATTCAAAGGGTTATTAAATGCTTGCAAGTACGAACTTCTAGTAGATTGTTATTCTGGTTATCTGTTATAACCTGTCTGATTCTATTTAATTCAATGCACATTTCATCTTTCCTGTAAGCGTCAATGCGTCATTACCTCATGGTGCCACACGCTAGTGTGCAGCTTGTACCACATTAGAAATTTCAAAGGTTAACTTGACCTATTGAGTGAACAGAACAGTACACACAGGACAGGAGTCTTTTTTTTTTTTACAATGGAGTCTTGGATGGAATTAAGATGTGACCTTCGAAGATGCTATGAAAAGAAATTTAGTAGTTCAGTAGAAGTGTTGGTTACATGATGGTAACACTACTCGATTCATATTCCTTTCATGTAATCTTTTCTGTAACCCTTTAATTGTGCAGATCATGCAATCGATAGGCTTTTTGGGGCCGGCCTTTTTCCTTACACAGCTAAGCCATGTCAAGACACCTGCTATGGCGGTGCTGTGCATGGCATGTAGTCAGGTAAATGATCTTGTTTTCTTTCAATTCACTTGTGCTTCGAATTGCTGCAATCTTGCCTAGCTGTGATTTTGATCCATAAATGTCTTTTTCTCGACAGGGATCAGATGCATTCTCCCAGTCTGGTCTTTACTCCAATCACCAAGACATCGGCCCTCGATATGCTGTAAGTTTCTTTATAATACATTTAGGTGATGTCTTGTGAATATGATATCTCAATTCTGCTCCTACTATGCTTGTGATACGTTTTTGTGAAATTTGAAAGATTGAAGCAATCTTTCCAACCGCTCAGAGATAAAATATATCCGGTGTTTTCTGCGTAGAGCTAGACTTAATATCAACGAATTGAGTATTAAAGTTTTTACCACCCTCAAGCAAAATATCATTATTGAACCCTTTCCCCCCTTCGTTTTTCTGGATTCCTTAATGAACAGTGTTTCTTGTTTCAAATGTCATTATTCTTTTTCCGAAAGCAAGTTTTTTGCATCAATCACAGGGAGTTCTATTAGGACTTTCAAACACAGCCGGAGTGCTGGCTGGTGTGTTTGGTACTGCTGCTACCGGCTACATACTCCAACGAGGTATGACCAAATCTATGCACAGAATACCTTGATGTCGAATTTATTCTCGAATACCTCGTATCGAGTTTATTATCACATATGAAAATTTCACCCCTGCAGGTTCCTGGGATGATGTGTTTAAGGTGTCAGTTGCACTGTACATCATAGGCACATTAGTCTGGAACTTATTTTCAACCGGAGAGAAAGTTCTGGACTAAGAAAATGTAAAAAATGCATACGAAAAAGAACGGAAGCCGAAAAAGAACAACTTTCTGAGTAATAGAAGGAAGCGGACATGCCAGGATGAATGAAACAAACCCTGCTGAGAAGTGATATCAGCAGAGTGAGGTATTTTAAAACATTGTACCAACATGTTAGGCCCTCCTACTTCAAACAACATTTTGATTTGTCTGGAAAATTGTGTATTTTTCAGGCCAAAGTTCCTTGCTTAATTTCATTTTTCTAGTGTAGCTACTCATTAAGCATCATCTTCACAAAAAATGGACTTAATGTTTTGACATTAAATTAATGATTAATTTGATATTTTTTAACATATACAAATTAAATTGAACTGTAATATCAATTCCTAAAATATATTTTGTCCATAAAGTACTTTTAAAGTTAATCCTTAAGATATGTATATGTATTTTCAAGATAGAGTTATTATTAGTCTTTTTGCCTAGACTCAGGGTAAAAGTTGAAGTATAACGCCTTCATATATCAATATTTTCAAGATAGATTTGTATCTTAAAAAGATTCTTGTTGGGAGGAAGAGCCTCGAGTATAGATCAAAAGGAAGAACCTTGAATTTCCAGCCAATTACAGTTCTTTCACATGCTCATCAATCTCTTCCTTGCTCTTCGATTGCCGGAGTTTCTCAGCCACCATCTCCATCGGCGGATCTCGGGGTCTTCTGAAAACTTGATCCCCAATCTTTATCTCGTACGCCTCATAATGACTCAATATGAATTCCTTCAACTGCAATTACAAAACATAGAAAATTTCCCGCTGAATAAAAACAAGGAACAACAAATTTGGCAGCTGCAAAAGGAATCACTGTGTGCTAACCTCTAATACTTTGTGCCCATCTTCCACGTTGAACATAATTGTGCCTAGATCGATGCCCATGAATTTCACCCCGAGAGCTCCCGTTCTCAGGAGTTGGGTCCATTTCACAGGTAATTCAGCTACCGAGTTCTGAAACCAAAATTTCCCAATTCAACATTAATTACTCAATCAAAGAAATAGAAAGAAATCGTTAAAAAAAAAGCTTATCTCGAGGAATCCCTAAGCGGGAGCTTAACGAAGCCAAAAGCAGGGCCCGTCTGGCGCTTCGTGATTTCTTCCAGAATCTGGGAAAGGTCCATGTTGTCGAAATCAGGTGGGGGATCGAATTCATCGGAAGATTTCTTTTGACCCCATTCTTTCCAGGCTTCATCCTCTTCATCGTCAACGACGTCGTCGAGATCGTCGGTAATGTGAATCTTTCGCTTGCCTCCCTCCACTCCGATTTGGGATAGAAGAAGGGGCTAAATTATAAGCAGCAGCAGCAGCAGCAGAAGAAGAAGAATTGCGTGATTATTTTTCGTGTTGGAAAGGTTTGGAGTGGAATGGATTTTGCTGTACTACGATTGCTATGGTTCGATCTTTGTGTGGGCTTCTTAAATATTCTGCTTTCCTTTATATATCAAATCAAGCTTTTAATATTAGGATAAACTAATTTATGTTTGATTAAGTTTTTCCTTTTTCCCACTAAATAGATTGCTCAATGATAACAATCGTTATTAGAGATGACTGATTTAGATATTGTACTATCACGTGAGACTGCCTACACCTCAATATAGCTTTTTAGAGGGATGAAGGGCTTTCCTTGAAGGTCGAGAGAAAATCAAATATCAACTCAAAAGTTTGAGTCGTTATACAAATTATATTTTGGATAAAACGACGCCATTTGGGAGAAAATAGAATACCAGAAGTGATGTAGTTTAAAACCCCCATTCTAATATCTTTTTTTCTCTGAATCACTCGGTGGTGGTAATAAGAAAATACAAAATTAACTCTCTGCTGCTTAAAAATGACCCTACTATTTTTTATAAAAAATCTGAAAACCTAAAAAAGATTCTTCAGAATGATCTCCAGCGACTGCAGTAACTTAATCATACGAGTATTAATATGGTGTTTCCCTTGTAACAATAAGTTCATTCATTATGCTGATTTCTATAAAAGTGTCTACAATCGTCGATAATCAACCTCGACTGAGAAGTTATCTTTTTTCCTTCTTTTGTGTTTGTGATTGTTTTCTCTTTCTCGTTTGACCATTTTTTTTGGGTATAATTTTTTTATTTATTTGTCAAGTAAAAGTGTTTGGGATCAATTCTAGGGTTAATTGGGCCTACGTTTATTGGTGAATGTAGGCCTGAGCGGTGAGTGTTTTGGAGCCTAACGAACATTGGCCTATGACTGGTGACTGTGGTGACCAAGACAAAATCGTGATAGGAGAAAAAAATAAAAAATTATATGCTCAATATCATATAATCTATATTTACCTTTCTACTTTTCTACCCCATTTTCATTTTTTTTTATCTTACCATGCAAAATCTATGGCTTGTAATTTCTTTTGTCAAAGACTAGGTTCTTGTACCACAACCAAAGCCCCAAAAACATAAAATGTAAGTCATTTCCATACACTTGCACTAATATGTATTTTATTTTCATTTTTTGGTTTCCTTAAAAACTCAGTGAAGAAATGGATTCCAAAATGCCTGTATTTGGTTGATGTTAATAGTTTGGAAAAAAAATGAACAGGAATATACCTCAAAAACTGAAAGAAGCATGCACCGTGGTTGCTCGAGACCAGAGAGGTGCCAACAATGTTTCTACCCCCTTCAAAACAAAATTGGGCCACCAAAACTTTCACTCATCAAAAGGTAGACCCGGAGGAATGTCTGTTTTAAATGAAACCTCGAAAGAACTAACCGAAAACCTTTGCATCTTAGTCGATGGATTCCATATTTACTTGGAAGAGTACCTTGATTTTTTCTGCGACTTCTTCGGGGAAATCAAGAATGTGCTAGGCTTAGTTACTTCCTGTCTGATGCCTTCACCAACTGATTCAAATTCAGGTTCATCGTCGCTGTCGATGTTGCTCGGAGTGACTCGATTCTGATATGCTCTACGCTGCAAAAGGAAGACATTGTAATAATAGCAAACAAGTTCTTCCCTGCTTTTTTTGCGAAAGTGCTTGCGGATCTCATCCCAAAAGCATTTTTGCAGTGATGAAGGATTTGACTTCACTATAGAAGAAAACATCTTCTGTTCTTCCTTACTCCAAGCAGATCCAACATCTTCACCCATCTTATCAAACTTCCACTTGTAGAAAGCTGAACCCAGCTCAAGCTTCACCTTTGATCTTTTCTCAGCAACATGAAATTTTACACATTCCACAGAACCTTGACTGCGACAGCCGCATGAATCATGTCTTCCCTTCCCGATCCGGTCCCTTTCAATCAGAAACCTCTGTTCCTTTTTCTCCATTGGCCAAAAACGAGTCCCCAGCCATTTTGCACCACTTTCTGATGCTACACCTGCCCATGCTGGTACCTCCGCTTGAAAATGCGGCCCAATAGGAACTGGATTGACAACATCCCAATCAAAAACCGAACCTGGCGTCACAGAGTCACATGTTCCATGTAACTGTTTGTCAGTCCCAGTCATAGGACCATCCAGTCCCTTTGATGGCAAACTCCCAAAATTGAGCTTCTTGGTGTAGCTCGACCTTTCTCTGAGTTTGTACCCTATGTTTGTGTTATCATCATACATGCATGGATGCATCTTCTGAGATTTCTACATAAGTATGAACAGAACATAATGCAATTATTATAACCTACACAAAAAGGAAAAGAAAAGCACAGGCATATCATGAAATAACATTAAATCATCTAATTCTTTGAGATAAAAACCGGAATTGTGCTACATGGCATATTAATAATGCTTGCCCTTCAGACAAATTATAACTCGTATCAAAATTCAATTCGTTCAACACATCAATACTTTTTTTTAATCCTTTTTGCATCATAATTCACTACTTGAGCATATTAGGTAACCCTATATGTTTTCATTCTTCAAGAAAAAGCAATAATATATATCAAGCAAATATATAGTTACATGCCGTGAAACATATTAAATATAGAAGCCTCTAAACCACAATGAAAATAATTTCTTTTCTACCAAAATGGTTCTGCTCATGGATCTATTAAGTCATTACATCTATTTAAGATATCTTGAGATTTCCAATAAATTATTTTTATGCTGGTACTCTTTGAGAATATATAGTGCCATGTGAACTAGTTGACGCATTGGAAATTAAGAATACAAGTAAAGGACATGTAATAACTAAGACATACAATGACCTTCCATTTTGATTGGTCAGAACTTGACTGATCGCCCTTTCGGCGAAAGGCAGCTTCTCGAAACAATAAAATCTGCTTCCACGGTTCCTCACTGCCAGAAAACTTCCACTTTGAGCTCTCCGGTATTGAACTGATCACCGGATCACATGGACACTTCGCAACCTCTATAACCCAATCAAGCATTCCCCATGTAGAATCCCGCTTCCTCTTATGGGATGAATTTTTTTCCTTGGTGTCGTTTGAATCCAACGTCACATGATTAGAACCGTGTGAGCATTTCTTACACTCAACAGAATCCTCCATAATTGCACTCTTAGCCTCATCCTCGTTGCACATTTTCTCAAGAGCAGACGAGTTGCCCGCACTTTTCTCAAAATCTGAAGGTGTATCCACATATTCATCAACATTAATGCACTTTTTTTCTCCATCTGAATCAACCACCACACTCTTTGAGTCATCGTCATTAAGTAATTTTTCCATTTCCTCGTAATCTAAAAACTCCTTTGTTGAATCAATATGCATAGATTCTTCACCATAGACACATTTCTCTCCTCGACCTGACCCTGCCACTATACTTTCTTCCACTAGAGAAAACTCCACAACTTTCTTTGATTCCAATAAAAGTTTTTTAAGCTCAGCTCCCATCTCCAACAAATGATCACTATAATGTGGTTCACTCTCCGAGTCTCTTTGAACAAATCTCTCCAACCATCTCTCTAATGAAACTAAGAACTTAACATAAACTAACTTCACCAGCGACGCTACATTCAAACCCAACCCGGATTCCGCCGCAACCGAATCCCATAATCCACTTTCCGAGACAGCATTGTATCCACCTTTCTCTCTTACAACTAAGAAAAGCTTAAGCCAGTCCACAGGCTGCTCATCTTCAGGCATTGCAGGGAGAGAGCAAACACAACCTTGAGAACAAATCTCTTTTAGAAAGAGCCCAAGAAACTTGTTAAACCAGAAACTAAACTTATCAGGTTCAGATTTCAAGAATGACCCTTCAGAAAATGAATCCAAAGCAATCGAAGGGCTTGCCGGATCTTGTTTTTCTGGGATTTTCTTGCAATCTACTGAAGATTCGTCGGCTCCACTCGATAATCCTGTCATTGGTTTCGAACTCATACCCTAAAAAAATAATTATCAACTTATCCGTATGAACTTTCATTATTACAAAAAAAAGGAGTCGGGACCAAAATGACAAACAAATATAAAAAATACTTTTGTGTTAACTAAGAAAGATAAAAAAAACAGCAGCCATTACAAATCTGGATCATTTTTGGCGGGAATCTAGGGTTTTGATTTGAGTTTTTTTTTCTTCAGGTTTTAGCATTCAAAGAATTTTTTCCCTTTAACACTAACCAACAAATGTAAAATCTAACACAGGAGAAAAATAAATCATACCATAAATCTCCCCTTTTTTTCCGTTGGGGTCTGAAACGGAAGGGTTCCGATGATACTTTTCTCTTTGAGTTGGCTTTTCTTTTTATTTTCTCTTTGCCCCTTCGTTTTTGCCATAATACCTCTTTTTTACCTTGTCTTTTGAGTTCTTTGCTAATCCCCACTTGTTCTTGGGAGAGAGAAAAAAAGAAATGGAGTGCAAGGGAAAGTGAAGTTGAAGGGATTGAAAAAAAATTGTCCCAACCATCTAATTTATATTGTCATCATGATTGGTTTAACCTAGGTTAATTATTAACCATGAGTTTGGGTTAGAATATTTGGTATGGTCAAATAAAGGGCATTTTAGTAATGTAAATAACTTTTTATTTTCAATTGGCATGAACAAGAATTTGAGTTTTTTTAAGGTTCAATGATTTTACAATCATGTTTTAAAATATAAATATAAAATTTGTTGCTTTATAAATATTAGATGAGTTCATAAATTTGAAAGATAATAATTTTTTTATTAATTTATGGTAAGTATAAATAATATTTGCTAAAAAATAACTCTCAACCTTTCGACATTAAATGTTCACACCCATAACATCTATGATGATTGAATCCAAGTTCTCAAAGAATAACAATAATTCATTTACCATAAAGACCGCTTGATTCGTGCTGGAAAGATAATAACGAATGCTATATTTATACATATTTCATAACATAACTTAAACTAATTTTGAAATTTAAACTCATCATTTAAAATTCAAAATTTCAAATATAATTGATTGGTGACAACACTAACTTTAGTGTTGATTGTCTATTATCAGAATTTT